GGGGGGGGGGGGGGGGGGAGACTTCCAATGTGCCATTTAGGGTGAGTCATCAACAAAAACCTCCAAAACAAAAATCGAGGCAAGACAAAACAATACAAAACACTCAAAAAGAAGATATATAGAAGAGGCTATGTGATAAGCACAATTCTACTGTCAATGACAACAAAAGTAAAATTTTTAAACAGTACCTGAAATAATAATGACAAAATATTAACACTCATTTAGTGTAGTTGATATGTATTCATCAAGGGATTGATAATTGTTGATATTATACTATTACTGAACATATACCAGTTTGCTTTTACATAAACAATGACTTACTGCTCATTCCTTTCCCCATTAATTGTTTGTGGGGTATCCCAATTTCTTCCAGAGCGTATAGAATCAAGATTCACGTTACTGTTGCCCCCCTCCCCCCAATATGAAGAACTAGTAAAAGGTATACATGTAGTCCTAATTATTGAGGAATTCTGTGGAGGCATCCTAAAAGTACATCCAAGCTTCAATTTTAAGAAGTTAGAAGAAAAAGCAAATTAAACCCAAAGAAAGCAGAAGCAAGAAAATAAAAAGTGGAAATCAATTAAACAGAAAACAACAGAGAAAATAATACAAAACCAATTCTTTAGAAAAGATCAATAAAATTACCTAGACAGATGAAGGAAAAAAAAAAAGACAAAACAAATTACCAAGATCAAGAATCAAAGTGAGAACAACACTACAGATCCTACAGATGTTAAAAGGATAAGGGTATATTATGACCAACTTTATGCCACTAAATTCAACCACTTAGATAAAATTAATAAATTCCTCGACAGGGAAAAAAGTGCATGACAGAGATAGAAAACCTGAGTAGCCTAGTATCTATTAAAGAATTTAAATTTGCCACTTAAAACATCCCCACTTGGGCTGGCTGGTTAGCTCAGTTGGTTAGAGCATGGTGCTGATAACACCAAGGTCCAGGGATCGATCCCTGTATCAGCCAGCCACACACTGCCACCCTCCATGCCAAAATAAAAATCCCCACAAAGAAAACTCCAGGCAGATGGCATTACTGTGAAATTCTATCAGACATTTAGAGTAAAGATTATACTAATTCTACATAAACTCTTTCAAAAAATAGAGAAAGAATGATTCCCAATTCATTTTATATGGCCAGCATTATCCCAATATCAAAACAAAACACAAACAAAAAACTTACAGGCCAACGTCCTTAATGTTTATAGAACATAAATTCCTTCACAAATTTAGCAGCTTTATATAAAAAGGATAATACATTATAACCAAGTGGGAATTATCTTACGAATACAAATCTGGGTTTAACATTCAAAAATCAAGCAATACAATCTACCATATTAATAGAAAAAAGAGAAACACTATGTGATTGTCAAGAAATGCAAAAAAGCGTCTGACAAAATACAACAATAAAAACTCTCAGAAAACTAGGAACAGAAGGGAACTCCTTCAACCTGATAAAAGGCATTTATGAAAAACCTACAGATAACATCACACTTAATGGTATAAGAATTCAATGCTTTCTCTCTAAAACAGTATACAAGGCAAGAACGCCCATTGTCACTACTTCAGTATTTTTCTAGAGGTCCTGAACAATGCAGTAGGACAAGAAAAAGAAATAAAGGGCATTCAGATAGTAAGGGAAGCAGTATAACTGTCCCTATTAAAAGATAACATGATTGTCTAGGTAGAAAATGCTAAGGAATTTGCAAAAAAATTTATATGTAATCCGTGAGTTCATAAAGGTCACAAGATTCAAACTCAATATGCAAAAATCAATTGTGCTTCTATTAGCAATTCCTATTGGTATTAGCAACCAACAGGAATTTTTTTTAAATGTTTAAAGATTTACAATGTAAGACATCCAAAACCATGAAAAAGTGTATAATTTACAAAATATGTATAAGACACATAGTATGAAAATATGAAACATTGCTGTGAGAATTTAAAGAAGGCCTAGATAAGTAGATATATATACCATATAACAACATGGAAGACTCAATATTGCTAAGATGTCACTTCTCCCCAAAGTGACTTACAGATTCAGCACAATCCTAATCAAATCCTAATCAAAATTCCAGAAGGCTCTTCTGAAGAAATTAACAAACTGATTCTAAAATGTATATTGAAATGCAAAAGAACTAATTAGGTCAAACAATTTTGAAATAGAAGAACAAAATTGTAGGACTTACATTACTTGATTTCAAATCTTATACAGCTACAGTTATCAAGATAGTGTGGTATTACCATAAGAAAAGACATGCAGGTCAATGGAAAAGAAGAGTTCAGAAAAAATTTCACGTAATAAAATATTGTCAATTGATTTTCAATAATGGTACCAATATAATTTAATAAAAAAAGAATAGTGTTTTCAACAAATGGTACTGGAACAACTGTAAAATCATATTAGTAAAAAATGAACCTAAACCTTTACTTT